CTGCTGAAACCCTTGAGCCGAGAGTGAGTCCAGATCCAGCCCGTCACATTCTAGAGAATCCTCCAGGAACTGAGAACCTGGCTGCTGGACTTGAAGGAGACTCCGATAAGTCTCATGGGTCAACCCCTGAGATGCCAAAGCCCCTTCCGTCTTCTGATCTCTGGTACTGTCCTGATGGGAGCTTTGTCAAGAAGATCATAATCCGTGGCCAGGGTTTAGACAAACCCAAGCTAGGCTCCTGCTGCCGGGTACTGGCTTTTGGGTTTCCTTTTGAATCAGGGCCACCAGAGGGATGGACAGAGCTAACCATGGGTGTAGGGCCATGGAGGGAGGAAACTTGGGGGGAGCTCATGGAGAAATGCCTGGAGTCCATGTGTCAAGGTGAGGAGGCAGAGCTTCAGCTCCCTGGGCACTCTGGACCTCCTGTCAGGCTCACACTGGCCTCCTTCACTCGGGGTCGGGACTCCTGGGAGCTGGAGAACAGTGAAAAGGAGGCCCTGGCCAGGGAAGAACGCACAAGGGGTACCGAACTCTTTCGAGCTGGGAACCCTGAAGGCGCTGCCCGATGCTACGGACGGGCTCTTCGGCTGCTGTTGACTTTACCCCCACCTGGCCCTCCAGAACGAACTGTCCTTCATGCCAATCTGGCTGCCTGTCAGTTGCTGCTAGGGCAGCCCCAGCTGGCAGCGCGGAGCTGTGACCGGGTGCTGGAGCAGGAGCCTGGCCATGTAAAAGCCTTATACAGAAGGGGGGTTGCCCAGGCTGCCCTTGGGAACCTGGAAAAAGCAATTGCTGACCTCAAGAAGGTGCTGGAGGTAGACCCTAAAAACCGAGCTGCCCAGGAGGAGCTGGGGAAGGTGGTCATTCAGGGCAAGAAACAGGATGCAGGGCTGGCTCAGGGTCTCCGCAAGATGTTTGGCTGATTAAAAGTTAAACCTTAAGCAGGAACAGGAACCTGTGAATTGTCTGCTGTGATATTTGGGGCGCGGGATGTGCAGAGGGAGTGTTTCCGCCCATATCCCTTTCCCGGCTTTTGCATTCTGAGGGGTTTTAGCCACTTCTGGGGGAGTTTACTCATCTCCGGAGGCTCTAGAAGCTGTCTAATCTACATTTAGGCCTGGCTGGGGGAGATGAGAGACCCTTTAAGTCTTGGGAACTACATCTCCCAGACCCTCCTCGCTGGGGCCTGGTTGGCGCACGCGCCATCAGTACAGCCCGGCGTTGTCGACCGCCTACTTCCGGCTACCGGTGTTCTGTAAGCCCCGCCCACGCGGCCTTCTCTTCTACTGGCTCATGTGGTCCGCACCCAGGTCTCCTATTGGTCGGTAGGGTTTCCGGGACGCCTCTTTTTTTTTTTTTCCGAACCAACTGATTAGTTGATGATGGAAAGAGGCGGGCCTTGGGAACCGTCTCTTGGCAGGGGGGTGGGGGGAAAGATGGCGGAACTGATGCTCCTCAGCGAGATTGCGGACCCCACGCGTTTCTTCACCGACAACCTGCTGAGCCCGGAGGACTGGGGTCTGCGGAGTGAGGCCCCGGGGAGGGGAGGGGGCTGTGGCAAACTGTGTCCCTGAGGACGCGAAGGAAGAGGAGGCCCGAAGAGGAAGGGGGGGTGCAACTAGGGAATCCATCATCTGGAGGAGGGCGGAGCACGGGGAGCTCCTTGTGCATTCCGGGCTTTCGAGAGTCCGGGAAGACCTCTGCTCCCTGCGGGAGGGTTGAATTGCTCTCGGGTTGGGGAAGGAGGGGCTGAAGTTGTTCGGTTGTGTCAGTTTACAAGTGGGCGGGCGGTAGGTCTGCGGAGCCGAGCCAATGAGGCTTGGGGCGGGGGTCCGTGTGACATCTGTAGGCCGGGCCACCGGGCGACCTCCCGACTCTCCGCCCTCCTTGCAGACAGCACGTTGTATGCCGGCCTGGATGAAGTGGCAGACGAGCCGACGCACCTCTTCCGTTGCCCGGAGCAGGATGTCCCGGTACGGCTCCTCAGCCTCGCTGACCCTCGCGGAGGTGGAGTGGGGCGCAGTGGAGTGGTCCCAGAACGGGAACTCATCCGCAGGCCAGAGCCCGTATGGAGTCACCCCTACTTCCCCATCTCCCTACCCTCTGATATCCTCCTTCATTCAGTTTGAAAGCAGTTCCCTGGACTTGGGGATGGATCCCAGCCCACCTGAGCCCCCATGGGACCTCCTGCCTATCATCCCAGGTAAGATGCTCTTTAGGGTTCCCTTATTCCTACAGAAACCCTCACTTCCGACTGTTGCCCACAGCCTGATTCCCTGTGCCCATGTTTCTCCTCCCGTTTATCCCTGTGTGTGTTCCTGTCCCCTTGCCCTGGTGGAGGAATCCCCACCCCCATGTCCTTGAACATTTTCTGGACTCTTCTCAGGCTCTGCTTCCTGGTTATTTATTTATTTATTTTTATTTGTGTGTGTGTGTGTTTTACGAATTAACTTTAACTTTTTAAAAATTTATTATCTTTTATTTATTTATTATCTTACTTATTTTTAATTTGGCCAGAGAGGGACAGAGAGGGATAGAGAGAGAGGAGGCAGGGAGAAAGCAAGCTGCCAGGTCCAGAACTCGAACCGCAGCCAACCATGTGAGAGTCCAGCACCCTTAACTACCTTTCTACCTGTCGGCCCCCCTGGTTATTATTTATTTATTTTAGAATGATTTTATTTAACTTTATTTTAATTTGACCAGAGAGGGACAGAGACAAAAAGTGAGAAAGCATGCCACCCTGTCCAGGACTCAAACTGCAGTTGGCCATGTGGGAGTCCAGCATCCTTAACTACCATGCCACCTGCCAACCCTTTTATTTATTTATTTATAATTTTTATTTTTTTTAAGAGAGGTTTTTGCTATAGGGCTCGTGTGCTCACCAGAAAAACAGAGACAGAGAGACAGAAAGCGAGAAATCACCCCCCCAGGAGGATGGCCACGCTGCGATCCCTTCTCCTCCATTCTCCTCTCGGGATCTTGGGCACACACGTATACATGCCGGTGTGAAGTTAAGCCACCAGGTCCGGGACACGAACTGCGGTTGACTACATGGGAGTCCAGTGACATAGCCATTACGCCAACTGCTAGTCCCAACCCCTTTATTTTTTAAATAATTATTTTATTTAGCGTTATTTATTTATTTTAATTTGAGCAGAGAGGGAGAGAGAAAGTGAGAAAGCAAGCTGCTAGATCTGGGACCCAAACCTTGGTTGGGCATGTGGGAGTCCAGCGCCCTTAACCACCACACCACCTGCCAGCCCCTCCTGCTTATTTTTTAATGCCTTTTCTTCCAGATCTTCAGGTGAAATCTGAGCCATCCTCTCCCTGCTCGTCCTCCTCCCTCAGCTCAGAATCATCACTTCTCTCTGCAGAGCCCTCCAGCCAGGTGAGGGAACCCTCTCCCCCCTCTACTCTCTGTGGCGGGGGCTGTCTGTACACTGAGTCGCGAGACTGGGGTGGGGAGTATTCTTTCCTGCCTTTCCATTTCCTTCACATCCCCATCTTCCACGCCTTTGCTGGGTTGTGTGGACGTGAAGAGAGAGTCTGTGGTCTGTGAAGCTATGTGGCCGCAGTGGTGGGGCTGGGAAGCAGGGAATCGTTAACCCTGAGAAGTCTGGAACTGTTCTTGCCCAAGCTGTCCAGCCTAAGACAGTCTTTGAAATGATGGCATTTCACCAACCCTCCCAGAAGCAAAGTAGAAAGACAGAGCAGGGGTGAGAGGCCGCTTCGGGGCATGCGCAGTGCCGTTCAGACCAGAAGGTCGAATGATGGGTGATGGGTAAACCCCGAAGCTTTTGTTCTTGCGCTTGCTCTCAACCCCTCCCTTGTTCTCGCCCCTTCTTTCCCCGTTATGCCCCACCTCTCCCCCAGACCCCCGGGGTAGGAGAGGTGCTGCGTGTGAAGGCAGAGTCCTTGTTACCTCCCCTCTGCCTCCTGGGAGACAGTCCAGTGTCCCCGTTTGAAACCGTCCAGATCAACGTGGGCCCCACCACTGAGGAAGCTTCAGGTAATACCAGGCCGCCACGTGCCAAACAGCCTTTACCAGCAGGTTTACGTGTGTGTGTAGGTGGGAGGAGAGGGTTCAGGCAGTAGGACAGGAAGGAAAAAGTAGGATGGGAAAATGGCGGATTATCAGGAACAAGGCCAGGAGGGAGAGGGAGTTTTAGGAAACTGCAGCAAAAGCAGCATTGAGATGCGGATGATTTTTCTTCTTTTTTTCCTTGTTCCTAGTATCCTGTCATGTCACTCAACTTACAGTTACTTTATGGTTTTGAAAAGCTTATGGACAGGGGTCAGTAGGTGGCATAGTGGTTAAGGAACTGGACTACTATGTGGCTGACCACAGTCTGAGTAGCACACCTGGCGGCTCTCAACTCCTGTCAGATGCATGCACATGCATGCCAAAATCCCAAGAGGAGAATGGAGGAGAAGGGATTGCAGCATGGCCATCCCTGGGGACTGATTTCTTGCTTTCTGTCTCTCTGTCTCTTCAGTCAGTGCATGCTCCCTAGAGCAAAAATCTCTCTCAAAAAAGAAAAAAAAAGAAAAAGAAAAAAAACTTGTGGATAGTTTAGGGCATATTTATTTGTAAAACTGTGTCTCCTGATTTTTTAAAAAAAAAAATATATATTTTTTTTGGAAAAGTTTTTCGCTATAGGGCGCATGTGCTCACCAGACAAAGAGAGACATAGAGACAGAAAGCGACAAATCACCCCCCAGGGGGGATGGTCATGCCGCAATCCCTTCTCCTCCATTCTCCTCTCAGGATCTTGGGCACACATGCACACGCACCCAGCGTGAGTTTTAAGCCACTGGGTCCAGGACACGAACCGCAGTCGACTACGTGGGACTACAGCGACATAGCCATTACACTAACTGCTGGTTCCCAAAGAATTATTTTATTTAACTTTACTTATTTATTTATTTTAATTTGACCAGAGAGGGACACAGCAAGAGAGAGAGAGAGTGAGAAAGGGAAAGTCAGAAAGCAAGCCTCCAGATCTGGAATTCGAACCCTGGTTGGCCATGTGGAATTCCAGTGCCATTAACCACCACTCTTCCTGCCGGCCCCTCTTCCAATGTTTTATTTTAAGAATCTTCAAACATAATGTTGGAATACTGTATACCCAGTTCCTAGATTATACAATTCATATTATTTGTGCTGTTTTTTTTTTTTTCCAGAGATATTTGCCTTAGGGCCCACGTACTTGCTGGAGAGAGGGAGAGACAGAGACAGTGAGAGGGAAAGTGAGAAATCACCACCCGGGTGGAATGGTCACGCTACAATCCCTTCTCCATTCTTCTCCCAGGATCTTGGGCATGTACATACACACATGCACCTGACGTGATTTTTAAGCCACTAGATCCGAGACTGACCATGTGGGAGTCCAGTGACATACACCATCTGCTGGCCCCATATTTGTGCTTTTTTTTTAAGGTTGACCAGAGAGAAGGAAAGTGAGAAAGCAAGCCGCCAAGTCCAGGACTCAAACTGTGGTCAGCCATGTGGGAGTCCAGCCTCCTTAACCACCATGCCACCTGCCTGCCCCATATTTGTGCTATTTTCAACTGTCCTCAAGATTATTTACTCTTCCAGGCTTATTCAATAAATCTTTTTTTTTTTTTTTTTGAGAGGGATTTTTGCTATAGGGGGCGTGTGCTCGCCAGAAAGACAGAGAGAGACAGACAGAAAGCGAGAAATCACTCCCCAGGGGGGATGGCCAGGCCGCAATCCCTTCTCCTCCATTCTCCTCTTGGGATCTTGGGCACGCACGCACACACGCCTGGCATGAGTTTTAAGCTGCCAGGTCCAGGACTCGAACCATGGTCGACTACATGGGAGTCCAGCGACATAGCCATTATGCTAACTACTGGTCCCAATAAATATCTTTCAAGCACTACTCCAGGTCACGTATTGGAGAAGGTGCTGGCAATGCAAAGATGAACACGATGTGACCACTACAGTGACTTGAGAATCCCGTGGGATGGCAGAGGGAGAAGACAAGCACCAGTCAGTGAAGCTGTGGTACCAGGAGAGCTTACAAGTTGGGGCATCTCACCCAGATTGGAGCCGGACCTGGGGCTTGCTCCTCGAGGAAGGGTTTCCTGAGAGCCGAGTATTGAAGGACACATAGAAATTAACAGCAGTTAGTGTAATGGCTGTGTCGCTGGACTCCCACGTAGTCGACCGTGGTTCAAGTCCCGGACCCAGTGGCTTAAACTTGTGCCAGATGCGTGTGCATGCGTGCCCAAGCTCCCGAGAGGTGAATGGAGGAGAAGGGATTGCGGCGTGGCGATCCGGATCGCGGCGTGGCGATCCCCCCTCGGCGGTGATTTCTCACTTTCTGTCCCTCTGTCTCTCTGTCTCTCTGGTGAGCACATGCGCACTATAGCAAAAACCTCTCAAAAACAAAAAAAAAAAGAGGCAGAAAGAGAATGTGTGGGCTAAGCTATGTGTGTGCAGGAACCCGCATCTTCAGAGGGGATCGGAGGAGGGTGTGGGGAAAGGCAGAGGGCCGCAGATGCGCTAGGGCTGGGCGGGGCCTCTGCTGAGGGGCTCTTTGCCTAGGGGCAGCTAGGAGCCTTTGAAGAACTAAGCAGGGACCAGCTTGATTAGGGAGATGGTGACTAGTGGAGAATGGATGGCAGGGAGGCAAGGCTGGAGGCAGGAGGGCCAAGGAAGAGGCTCGTGTAATTAATCAAGTAAGATACTCAGATGCCAAGAAGAAGGCAGATTTGAGAGAAAATGGAGGAAGACACTGGAGAGGGAGGAATGAGAGGATGCCAAGGTTTCTGGCGAGGGCAGCTGCCAGTGACGGTACCGTTCGTTTGATAGAGACTGCAGAAGTAGGAGCTTTCTGGTTAGGAAAGATGGCCAGTTCTGCATCGGACATGTGTGTTGATTCCAAAGTGCCTTCTGGATGTCCTGAGACTTGTCTCTCACTGGTGCAACTCCACCCAGAAGCTGGAGGGTCGAAGAATAATTGATGCAATTCATTCAGATGCTCTTCCTGGACCTCCGCATAGGGCGAGGAAGAATGGTGGGTGGATTTAGAGGGACAAGCAGTCGCATTTACCAGATTATGAAATGTTGCAGAGGGCATGCAAAGTAAGAATCGAAGTGCTTTTAGGAGCAGAAAGATTGATGGTAACTTTATAAAGGATGGTGTTATCAGAGTCACATTCTCTCTCTTTTTTTTTTTTTTTTTAAGAATTGTTTATTTATTATTATCATTTTTTTTAACTTGCAGTAGTCATCAGAGAGGGTGAGGGGGAGTGAGAAAGCAAGCCACCAGGTCCAGGACTTAAACCACAGTTGGCCGTGCGGGAGTCCAGCACCTTAACCACCGTGCCACCTTCTGGCCCCCACATTTTCTCTTACAGTATACATGTTTTGTTTGGTTTTGCTATGAGGCATGTGTTCTCACCAGAGAGAGACTGGGGGTGGTGGTGAGAAATCATTCCCAAGAGGGATGGCCCACGTCTTGGGATTTGGGGCATGCACACCTGGTGTGATTTTCAAGCCGCCAGGTCTGGGACTCTAACCACCTAGTCAGCCATGTGAGATTCAGCGGCCTTACCCTCCTCACCATGTGCGGGCTTTAGTTTAGATCATTTGTGAGGTCTGCACTTTACCCTCACTTCCCCTGTCTCTTTGATAAGCAGAAATACAGCCCTTGCTTTTGGAGAATTTCCTGAGGGTTATCACATTAGTTCTAATAGTGGTTATCTCTGAGGAGGGGAGCTGGGTAGCTGGGGGACAGGGAAAGGAAAGAGATTCAATTTTCACTACAAATTTCTATTTGGTTCCTTGGAATTTTTGTTTTATTTTAATTTATACGTTCAATCACTATACATCATTTAGTGTTTTGAGAGATTTTTTGCTATAGGGCATGTGTGCTCACTGGAAAGACAGACAGAGAGACAGAAAGTGAGAAATCACTCCCCCCCCAGGAGGAGGACCATGCTGTAATCCCTTCTTCTCCATTTCCCACTCGGGGTTTTGGGCACGCATGTGTGCATATGTGCACCAAGTGAGAATTTTAAGTTGCTAAGTTCAGGATTCAAACCATGGTTGACTGTGTGGGAGTTCAGGGTCTTAACCACTGTGCCACCTGCTGGCCCCTCCTTAGAATTTTGTATCAAATGAGGAAATTTATTTTTAAGAATTATTCGTTTAACTTTATTTCTTTATTTTTATTCTCAATTTGGCCAGAGAGAGCGAGGGAGAGTAAGAAAGCAAGCCACTAGGTCTGGGACTCGAACCATGGTCAGCCATCTGGGAGTCTCGCGCCTTAGCCATCATGCCACCTGCTGGCCCCCCAGATGAGGGAATTTCAGAGAGTCTTTTTTTTTTTTTTTTTGAAGAGGTTTTTTTCACTATAGGACGCGTGCGCTCGCCAGACAGAGAGAGACAGAGAGACAGAAAGCGAGAAATCACCCCCCAGGGGGGATGGTCACGCCGCAATCCCTTCTCCTCCATTCTCCTCTCGGGATCTTGGGCACGCATGCACATGTGCCCGGCGTGAGTTTTAAGCCACCGGGTCCAGGACACAAACCGCAATCGACTACGTGGGAGTCCAGCGACATAGCCATTACGCTAACTGCTGGTTCCCGAGAGTCATTTTTGAGTCTCTTCCATGTGAGTGGACAAAGGTGAGAGAAGGGAGAAGCAGAAGGGCAGGGACAGTCTTGAGGAAAACTGAGTAGATGAGAAAAACAGGGTGCCCCTGAAGGGGCAGGGCAAGTCCTGGGCTGGGGGCACAGGTGAGCCTCTCCATGGCTCCTCCCGGGTCACCTGCTTCGGGCCAGAGAAGCCACCCATTTCCCCACCTTAACCTGTTCCTTAGCACTCACCTGACTGATAACAGTTTTCTGTTTCGTCCTGCCACCCCACAGATGTCCAGACCAAGGTAGAACCCGCCTCTCCATCTTCCTCCATCAATTCCGAGGCTTCTCTTTCAGCAGATTCCCCCAGCCAGGTGAGCCTCAGTTTCCGTCTGCCATGTGCTCCAGTGAGTTGCCCCTAACTCAGAGGCCTGAGCTTTCCCTTCTCTGCGCCTTCTCGACACTCCTCCTGACTGATGTGTCTCTGGAACACCGCCCCTAGGCTTTCTTAGGAGAGGAGGTGCTGGAGGTGAAGACAGAGCCGCCGTCCCCTGCAGGGTGCCTCCTTTGGGATGTCCCAGCCCCCTCACTTGGAGCTGTCCAGATCAGCATGGGCCCATTCCCTGATGGCTCCTCAGGTAGCGGCGCCTTCTGACCCCGGGGTCCCTGGCGATAGGCCTGTAACCCTGACCTTCCTTCTCTCCTTCCTCTCACCTTCCCTCAGGCAAAGCCCTGCCCGCCCGGAAGCCGCCACTGCAGCCCAAACCTGTGGTGCTAACCACCATCCCGATGCCACCCAGAGCCGTGCCTCCTAGCACCGCAGTGCTCCTGCAGCCCCTCGTCCAGCCACCCCCAGGTATCAAGGACGGCAAGGAGGAGGCAGCCTGGCTTGGTCTCGTCGGGGCGGGTCGTAGCCATTGACGCTCCCAGCCCTTGGTGCTTGGGCGTGGGTGTGGACACAGGACCCCCTCTCTCCTGACTCCGCTCTCTGACCGCCTGCTCACTTGCCCCAGTGTCCCCAGTTGTCCTCATCCAGGGTGCTATTCAAGTTCAGCCTGAAGGGGCAGCCCCCCCTATTCCACGGCCCGAGAGGAAGAGCATTGTTCCAGCCCCTCTGCCTGGGAACGCCTGCCCACCTGAAGTTGATGTAAGTTTGGTTTTTTTTTGTTTTTTTTTGAGAGGTTTTCGCTATAGGGCACGTGTGGTCGCCAGACAGACAGAGACAGAGAGACAGAAAGTGAGAAATCACCCCCCAGGGGGGATGGTCACGCCGCAATCCCTTCTCCTCCGTTCTCCTCTCGGGATCTTGGGCACGCACGCACACGCACCTGGCGTGAGTTTTAAGCGACTGGGTCCGGGATATGAACCATGGTCGACTATGTGGGAGTCCAGCGACATAGCCACCATTACGCCAACTGCTGGTTCCCAAGTTGATGTAAGTTTTTGAGAGGAGAGCAGTCTGGCTGGTGAGGGAAGAGAAGGAAGTCTGTTGTGGAGAGAGGAGGGAGTTGAGAGCCAAGAGCCGGGAGTGAGGAAGCAGACATCTAAGTCCATCCCGAGGGTTCAGAGTGAACCCCTTTTCTTATTTTCTTAGAGAGATGTTTGCTATAGAGTACATGCATGCACTTGCTGGAAAGACCAAGAGGAAGTGAGAAATCACCCCCCCGGGGTGGTGGTCACGCCACAGTCCTTTCTCCGTTCTTCTCAGGATGTTGGGCATGCATGCTCATGCACCCAGTGTGTTTCAAGCCACCGGGTCTGGGACTCAAACTGCAGTCGACCATGTGGGAGTCCAGTGCCTTAATCACTGCACCACCTGCTGGTCCCCCCCTCTTTCTGTATGAATATCAGCTTGAGTTTTAGGGCTCATGGATTTGCTATCACCGCAGATGGAGAAGCGGGGTGGTCTCGGTGAGTCAAAGGCAGGGGCATCATACCGTGTAGTTGTACCAGTAGACAAAAGGAGGAGGCTGCGTTCCCGGGGAAGCAGGTAAAGCACAGCTCAGCTTTGGGCCCTGAAAAGGAGGATGGAAAAGAAAAACTCACAAAAGAGGCTCTATCAGGATAGAAGTTCTTCCTGCAGTCTTTTTTTTTTTTTCTTGATTATTCTTATTTCTTTCTTTAATTTTACTTGTTACTATTATTTTTTAAATAATTATTTAATTCCACTTGATATTTTTTAAAGAATAATTTTAACTTTATTTATTTTAATTGGACCAGAGAGGGACAGAGAGAGAGATGGAAAGTGAGAAAGCAAGTCGCCAGGTCCGGAACTTGAAACCACAGTCAGCCCTATGGGAACCCAGTGCCTTCAACCACCACGCCACCTGCCGGCCCCGTTACTGTTATTTTTTGACTTTGACCAAAGAGGGGCTGGCAGGGGGCGGTGGGGACTCCCACATGGCCAACACAGTTCAAGTCCTGGACCTGGCAGCTGGCTCTCTCACTCTCCTTTCTCTCTGTCTCTCTCTGGTCAAAACTGAAGAATGATGATAATAAATAAAATTAAAAATAAACAAATCTTTGGGGGAAAAATTGACCAAAGAGACAGAGAGAGACAGAGGGAGTGAGGGAAGGGGAAAGTGAGAAAGCAAGCCACCAGGTCTGCTACTCGAACTGCGGTCGGCCGTGTGGGAGTCCAACAACTTAACCACCATGCCATCTGCTGGCCCCCTTCCTGCAGTTTTAACTTCTACCACTGAGGAATAAGAGCAGGGAATGGTGGAGACAAGGGCCCCTTCCCTGGAGTGTTTCAGTGGAGATGAAAAACTCCTGTCTGGCTTTCTCAGTAGCAGTCAGGAAGGCGGGAGAACGCTTATGTGAGCTTTGGGTAGTCGGCCCTGGCGTCTGGGTACGTCTTATCTTTCATTCTCTGTGTGACCTGGGTGTCTAGGCGAAGCTGCTGAAGCGGCAGCAGCGAATGATCAAGAACCGGGAGTCGGCCTGCCAGTCCCGGAGGAAGAAGAAGGAGTATCTGCAGGGGCTGGGGGCGCGGGCGGCGCTGGCTGACAACCAGCAGCTCCGCCGGGAAAATGCTGCCCTCCGGCGGCGGCTGGAGGCCCTGCTGGCCGAGGTGAGCTGGCCCGTCCTTGGGAGACCGACAGGAGGATGAGCTCCTGGGGTTGACTTTCTGTCTTGTCTGCATCTTAGAACAGCGAGCTCAAGTTAGGGTCTGGAAACCGGAAGGTGGTCTGCATCATGGTCTTCCTCCTCTTCATTGCCTTCAACTTTGGACCCGTCAGGTGAGGCCCTCCTCACTTCCCCAAAGCCCTCTGGGTGGAGCTGACGCTACAGCCACCTGCTTGCCTGTGTGGGCCCATTCTTCTCCTCGCACTTACCTGCAGCAGCTCCGGTGTCTTTAGCACCAGAGGTTGGGAGAAGGAGGTGTGTATCCAGCCAGCACTTCCTGCTCCGTTATTTCTCTCGTAGGTGTTCCTCTGGGGGTCGATGACGGAAGCGCGACCAGTCGGCCCCTGCTCAGCGGCCAGTCGGCCCCTGCTCAGTCCTAGGCTCCTTTTCCCACGCTTCCTGGATGTCCCTAGGAGATGTGGGGACCATTCTCGTTTCCATCTTACAGTGACATCTTGTAGAACGGATTGGAAGCCAGGGACTCTGTCCGCAGAGCCCGCGCTCCTAACAAGACATGATAGAGCGGGAACTGAGCTCACGCTGTCCTTCCCTGTCCACAGCATCAGCGAGCCTCCTCTGGCTCCCATCTCTCCGACGAGCGCACAGGAGCCTCGGCCCCGGAGACACTTGCTAGAGTTCTCTGAGCAAGAGCCAGCTCAGGGAGTTGAACCCCTCCGGAGGTCCTCCCAGAGCCCTCAGGAGCCCCAGCCTAGCCCTGTGAGCCGTCCCAGTTTCAGGTGAGTAAATCTTTCCTAAATCCAGCCTAAGCTACTTGGCGGGGGTGGGGACGGGCTGTGCCCATGCCACCCCGGCCTTTGCTGGTGCAGCCTGTGAGCAGGCTCATCATCGCCTCCTCTCGCCCCGCTCCAGGAACCTGACGGCCTTCCCTGGGGGCGCCAAGGAGCTACTGCTGAGAGACCTGGACCAGCTCTTCCTCTCCTCCGACTGCCGGCACTTCAACCGGACCGAGTCGCTGAGGTGTGGGGTCAGGGTTAGGGCTCTTCCTCTGTCCTCTCAGGCCCCTCGCGGACAAGGACAGTGGGAGTCTGGGGCTGACGCTCTGCTCCCCCAGGCTTGCCGACGAGCTGAGTGGCTGGGTCCAGCGCCACCAGAGGGGCCGGCGGAAGATCCCTCAGAGGGCCGCAGAAAGACAGGTAGGAGGCTGCGGCTGTCTCGGGGCCACTCGGAGACAGGGACTAACGATCCTGAGGATTTCGAGTGCCGTCTCGTGGAGGGCTAAGGACCGTCCAGAGAATGGAGGGGTGGGCACGAGGCAGTGCCGGCCTCCAGGGGCCGTCTGTCTCTCCTCTCCCCCACCCTCTCCACACCCTTGGGAGGCGGCGGCTGCCTCGGGGCCACTCGGCGACAGGGGCTAACGATCCTGAGGATTTCGAGTGCCGTCTCGTGGAGGGCTAAGGACCGTCCAGAGAATGGAGGGGTGGGCACGAGGCAGTGCCGGCCTCCAGGGGCCGTCTGTCTCTCCTCTCCCCCACCCTCTCCACACCCTTAGACACTTCTCCTTCCAGAAGTCTCAGCTACGGAAGAAGTCACCTCCAGTAAAGGCAGCTCCCGTCCAGCCCCTGGGACCCCCTGAAAGGTGAGTGCTGGGGGGGGGGTTCTCCTCTAATGATCCAGACCCCCAGGAGTTGTCAGTGCTTGTCATCGTTGTCACCAACGGGACTATGCCGCCTCATCCACTGGGGGTCTCCTTTCTGTTTTCCTCTCATCCTCCTCCCCACCTCCCCAGTGGGGACTGGGCCCTGACTTCGTCCCTCCCCAATCCTGCTTGCTCTCCTGCCTAGGAACTCTGTGGGCCAGCTGCAGCTCTATCGCCACCCAGACCGCTCGCAGCCAGAGTTCCTGGATGCAATCGACCGACGGGAGGACACCTTTTATGTTGTCTCCTTCCGAAGGGTGAGTCCCTGCTCCGGGCCCGGGCCCCGTGTCCGTCACCCTGGGTTCCCAGGCAGTCTGTCTTCAGGGTGTAGCATGCAGCTGGGGTGGCGGCGTCTCGTCCTCCACCCTCCTGGCCTGGCCTCTGTTCTCCAGGACCACCTGCTTCTCCCAGCCATCAGCCACAATAAGACCTCCCGGCCCAAGATGTCCCTGGTCATGCCTGCCATGGCTCCCAATGGTAATTCTTTTCCTGCGGGGTGTGGGGAGGGCTGGCGTAGGGGCTGTGGGGGAGAGAGAGGAAGAGAAGTGGGAGGGGGACGGGCGGAAGACGAGAGCATGGGTCCTCCCGGGTGCCAGTACCAGGGTAGGTGGCTGGCAGGACAGGGCGGGTGGGAACCTGCCAGACTCTCACTGCCTTTTTCCTCTTGGTGTCCTCTCCCGTATGACCCCGCACCCATCCATGTCATTTTCTTTTCCTACCTCATTTCTTCTCCCTCCCCGAACTTCACCCCTTCCTTCCACTTAACTCCCACTATGGATCTGCCTCCTCCTCCCTGCTCACCTCTACTTTGCTGACGCCCTGCCCCTGTCGGCCTCCCCGTTCTCTTCCTTAACTCTCCCTCTCACAGAGACCTTGTCGGGCCGGGGGGCCCCGGGGGACTATGAGGAGATGATGCAGATCGAGTGTGAGGTCATGGGCACCAGGGTGATTCACATCAAGACCTCCACGGTGCCCCCTTCGCTTCGAAAACAGCCGTCCCCAACCCCAGGCAATGCCACAGGGGGCCCCTTCCCAGCTCCCGCACCCAGCCAGGCCCACCAGGCCTCCCACCACCCGCTCTACCTCAATCACCCTTGACCTCTGCAGCTTACACTGACGTAGACCGGGGGGCGGGGTCCAGGGTGACCGAGACGGGGTTTCCAATGTCCCTGATCCCTAGGCTTGGGCAGCTGGTCACTGACAGGGTGTGGGCATCAACACTCATTTGGAGGTCAGGATTCGCTCCAGTCTCCCCCCTTTCCAGAGTATAGGGCTCTTCTCATGCCTGGGAACCCCCAGTTGCTGCTGCTTTCTCTGAGGGTATGGAGTAAGGTCCAGTTTTGGGGTGGTTGGGCTCTCTTTATTAAACCTTTCATTCCTCTGCTTGGGGGTGGAGATGGGATTGAGTCCCCAGGTGGGACAAGGACAGTTTTGACCTTTCGGAAGTAGTCGTTTCGAGTAAAGGCTCGGTGTTGGCGGGAGATCGGTTTATGTGTGTGCACATCTTTTACCATTCAATAAACGACCTGGCCCAGCCGAAGGAATGGCGGCGGCCTCTCTGGCTCATGGTGGGGAGTCCGGGGGCAGCATCAGAGCGCTGAAGACATGGCTGGCTCTGGGCGTGGGCGTGGGTCTCAGACCCCCTGTCATCTCCGGGCCCCACCTCTGCAACTGGGATGTGTCTGTGTCTGGCGGGTGTCTCATGGCGTGACAGAGGACACAGATCCCTGGAATGTGTCTGAGTAAACAGGAAGGACGGGGGGCCCCACGCCCTTAGGGTGAGCGGCCTTGCTGAGTCCCCTGCTCTGCAGCGGCTCTCCCTCCCCTCGCTCTCCAGGAGGAGCAGCTCAGACAAACAATGGGAGCTGGGCCAGTGGGCTGTGCGCCCAGCCCGGGAGGGAGGACCCCGCGAGAAGGGTGGGATTTGGGAGGAAGGGGGTTTGTGGGGTAGACTCGCAGGGCTGCAGGAGACAGACTGGACAGCCCAGATGAAAGGAAGGACCCAGTGGGGCAGAGCAGGCTGTGCGTTCTCATTAGGAGGAAGGGGAGCAGGGCAAGGTGAGGGGTCGGGGCCCAGCCCGTCAGGGAACCCCCTCTGGCTGCTCCAGCCGTGCCTCAGGCCCGACCCTCTCGGAGTGGTCTGGGTCAGCTGGAGGGTGTGAGCTGGGCCTGGGCTCGTCGCCCGGATGACTGGACAGAGGCTGCCCGGGCCACGAGCCCAGGCCTGAAGGAGGGAGGAAGGGCCTCACGTGTCCAGCCAGCCTCCCCTCTCGCTGTGTTTGGGGTGAAAACAAGCTGGTAACTATGACGACCTGGAACTGGGGCTCCCAGGAACTAGACTTCTTCTCCCTCCAGAGGGCAGCCCTGGCTTCTCAGCCGCTTCCTTTCCCTGCGTCCCGCAAGGCTTGCCCAGCCCTAGCCAGGCAGTGCGTGCAATGGAAACAAGGACTTCGGGAGGTCCCTCCGCGGGGTTCCCGGCCTTGCCTTGGTTAGCAGGGTGTCCTCACACACTGCTCAGGTGAGGTGAGGACGGAAGGTGCTCCTCGGTAGGCACAGCGTCCCGCGTGTCCTATCCTTCCCCTCTCCTGCCCTTATCCCGCCTGGGTGCCTCCGCCGTGCGCACCCCACCACCGCCCTGGGTGCCTCTCAGGGAAGTACCTGAGTGCTGCCATCTCAGACCAGGGGCTGTGGGGCAGGCCACGCCGCACCTCTGCAGAGTGGCAGGGGACAGTGGTGGGACCCAGGCCTCAGACCTCTCCTGACTGAGGAGTTGATAGCAGTAGAGATTAAGAGACGTGAAGAGTGGGGCTTCTGTGAGAGGCGAAGGTGGCTCAGGCTCTGGCCACCCCCCACCCCCTCCTGGGCCCCTTCCTCTCACCTTTCCCTTCCTCTCACCTTTCCTCTTCCCTTCTTTCTCGACTTCTGTGCCCTTTACTCCACTATGCGTTGTCTCTCCCCCCTCTGTCCTGAGTTTGCTGTAGAGTGCATGTGCTCACCAGAGTCCAGGGGCAGCAGTGAGAAGTCACCTGCCAGAGGACGGCCATGCCACAGTCTTCTCCATTCTCCTCTTGGGGTTTTGGACACGTGTGCCTGGCATGTTCTTCAAGCTACCAGGTCTGAGGACTCAAACCCGCAGCCGGCCGTGTGGGACCCAGCTGCCTTACCCACCATGCCACCTGGCGGGCCCAGAGCTAG